GAGCTGCGCGCCTTCCCCCGCGGGCTCCCCAGCTGGCCGACTCCCTCCTCGGCCCCCAGGGGTGGAGCCCCGACTCTTCCCAACGCCCGACCCCCCGCTGGCTGAAGCGTCCCCAACTGCACGTCCACCTGGGGCAGCAGAGGGGGCCCAACTAGAAAAAGGGACCTGGCAGAGGGAATCGGAGCAAGATCACAGACGGTGGCTGTCCTGCCTCAGCCTCCTGGATCCAACGGCTGCGTCCTCACGGGAGACAGAAAAGGAGACACGGACGCAGAGCAGCAGCCGCAGCCACAGCCCACGGCCTCCTGGAGCCCTGGGTTCCCGGGGCCCTGCCTCCCCGCCCCTCAGGGGTCTCTGCGGGACCCGGGAAAGGCAGAGCCCCGCCCCACCCCTGGCACTCTGAGCCCTGAGGACCCGCCCACTCCCTTCCCGCACTGGTCAGGAAGGCACCAGGTGGCCATGCTCCCAGCTGAGACCCAGTGGCCCTGGTGTGGGCACAGGTCGGTCGTGTGGGTTTCTGGGGAGCACCTGAGAGTCCCTTCCGCCCAGTCTTCGTCCAGGTGTGTGGTGCATACATGTGATGGCTGGAGCCCTGCAGTCATCATGTGACGTGAGGCACCTCAGGGTGGGCACTGCACAGGGCCGGCAGAGATGTACATGTCTCTGTCATCACCCGAAAAACCTGAGCGAAATGGCCCCTCAGTGTCTGCTGCAGCCCGTGCTGCGAGGGAATCACCAGAGCCCGGTCCAGCCCGCCCGCCCGCCCCGTGGGCCAGGACCGTCCGCGCGGCGGGCTGACCCTGCAGGGTGTGTCTCTGCCCGCTCCGTGTCCGCCTGGCCCTGACCAGAGACGGGTGGGGCAGGCCAGGCGCAGCCAGGTGCCAAGTGGGAGTCAGGCCAGGGCAGAAGGTAGGCTGGGCTGGCGCTGGGGTCAGCGGGGAGACAGAGGCCTGAATCCAGGGGTATAGACGGGAAGAGCCCGAGTCCTAACTCTGCTGAGCACAGGCGGGAAGGAGAAACTGTCCTGAGTCCATGAGTGTAGATAGGAAGCAGGGTCTGAGCCTGCGAGTGTAGACAGAGGAGGAAGCCGGGTCTGGGTCTGCAGAAGAGGAGGAAGCCGGGTCTGAGCCTGCGAGTGTAGACAGAGGAGGAAGCACGTTCCGGGTACGGCCCGCGTGGACTGCCAAGGCCTCCGTGTCCTGACCCTGTCGTCCCGGGCTTCGGACCCCGGCAGGGTGGGTGGAGCGCAAGGTGGTCCCAGCCCCGGGCCCTCGACAGAAGCAGCCCGATTCCGTCCGACC